AAGGAAAATACAAATTTTAGAAATCTATATATGCATATAATTTGTAAATGGCATCAAAAATAGTAAATACATAGAAATAAATCTAACAATGCCTCTGTTGACAATACTGCTATGACAATGATGGACAATACCCATACGAAAAAAGCACTAAGACTGTATTGAGAAAATTTTATAAATAACTAAATAAATGGAGAGATATACCATGTTTGTAAATTAGAATATGGTAGTGATAAAGATGCTGTCTCCCCAAATTGATTTACAGATTCTGAAAAATCCAATTAAAAACTCCCTGCAAGTTTTTGAAAACAAAATATGACAAGCTGGTTTCCAAATTAAGATGTAAGATACCACTGAAGAAAAACAAGTTTGGAAAAATCTATCATATTGACTATTAAATGTTATTACTAAACCATAGTAATTAAGGCAGTTTGGTGTTGCTATGGAAATAATAGACAAATGGGCCAGTGAGGCAGCATATAGAGAAGATAAGCATATCAAATACATGTGAATGCTTGAGTTATACAATAATTTTTTTTCCATACGTAGTATTGATGAATTGAGTATGCACATTTTAAAAAGAAAATCATACTTGTGCTTAATATTATTCACAAAAATTTCCACATAAATTATAGACATGAAAGAGAAAATAAGGTTTTTAGAAAATAATGTACAAGACCATCTAGATGATCTGGTGGTTGGGAAAGGTTTTTTAACCAAAATACAAAAAAGAAGGCTAATCATAAAATATTTACATATTTGACTTTATAAAAATTAATAATTTCTGGTCACTAAATTTTATATACATATCCTCTGACCCAGCAATTCCACTCAAAAATTTGTACATTAAGATGTATGCCATGATGCCCATACAGGAATGTATGAAACATTGTTCATAATAATCATAAACAAAATAATTCAAATATCCAAAATAACAGAATTAATGGATAATTTGCAACACATCAGTAAAATACACCAGTGAAATGTATAAATAAGCAGTAAAAATAATATAGCTAAACTCAACAACCTTAATGAATCTTAAAAACATAATAACTGTACCATTTTTAAGACTTCCATATAATTAAAGGCATAACAAAAACAAAGTTAAAGGATAAGTCACACCTTGGGAGAATTTATAATAAATATTTAGTAAAACTAAATATTTCTTATGTTAATAAGAAAACACATATAAGTAACTCTAACAGCAACAAACATAAAAAGATGTTTATCCTCATAGTTATTTATTAGGAATATTGAAAAATTAGTTTTGAGACAAGTGTCACCTTTGACCTATTAGCAAAAATTAAGAAATCTAAGATGATACCCATATGAAAAAAACACTAAAACCATATTGAGAAAATTTTATAAATAACTAAATATATGGAAAGATATACCATATTTCTAAATTATAATATGGTTATGATAAAAATGTTAAGTCTAGCCAATTGATCTGTTAGGTGTTGGTGAAGATAAGGTGTGTGTGTGTGTGTATGTGTGTGTGTGTGTGTGTATATACATATACAGATTGAGATACTCTGGAGACCCATAGAAGCATCAAGTAAATTTTGAAAAATAATAAATCAAAAATTATACTTGGCCAGGCAAAACGGCTCATGTCTATAACCCCAGCACTTAGGGAGGCCAAGGTGGGAGAGCCATTTGAGGTCAGGAGTTTGAAAGCAGCCTCAGCACAAAGCAAAATTCATCTCTACAAAAATACTTTTTAAAATTATCCAGGTATGGTGACATGTTCCTGTGATTCCAGCTACTCCAGAGGCTGAAACAGAAGGATCTCTTGAGACCAGGAATTCAAGACTGTAGTGAGCTAGGATTACATCACTGCACTCCATCCTGGAAGGTAGAGTCAGACCCTATCTCAAAAAATAAAAATATCAAAACAAAAAATAAATACTTGCACAGATACACAAGGAGAAATGTGCAATGATTTTCACAATGGCATTGATTTTATTGTCAAAAATATAGAAAATAATAAAGTAAATAAAGAAAATACATTATATTAGAATGTTCAGCAATTAAAATGAATAAAGAAAATACATAATTATCAATATGGATTAAAGTTAAAACATAGTATTGATTTTTTTAAAAAGCCAAGTCATAATAAATTTATTATGTAGAATTACAATAATAAATGTGAAAAATACAATTTCATATTCATGTATATTAAAGTAGAAAAATGAACTGGAATGATATACACCACAACTACTATAGTTAAAAGCACATATGTTTAAACAGCTGAAACTGTATCTCTTGAAGTACTCTTTATTCAAGAAAATTATTTGAAACAAACATCATAATATGTGCCTCAGGGTACTGAGGCTTCTATAACAAAACAATATAAACTGGGTGACTTAAACATTTTATTCCTCCTTGTTCCAGAAGCTAGGAAATCCAAAGATAGGGTGCCAGCATGGACTGGTATTGATGAGAGCTGTGTTTTTGGCTTACATACAGCTGCCTTCTTGCTGCATCCTCACACAGAGGAGAGAATAAGTGCTGGTAGCTCTTCCTCTTCTTGTAAGGACACTAATCTCATCATGAGAGCTCTACCAATATGACCTCATCTATGCCCAATTACCTCCCAAAGGCCATACTTCCTACTACCACCACTTTGGGTTACAATTTCACTTTGTTAACTCCAGGGCTTTTCAAATTTGTTTAAACGAAAAACCTAACGCATTTCTTTTTAGCATAGTATCTGTTACTATCTGGTTTTCTATGAATAACATAAGAGATTGTACAGTATTCTTTATGAATTGTGGTACCCATAATGCACATTGAGATTGAGACCTCAACATATGAATTTTGGGGGGACACACACATTCAGCCCATAACAATATGCCAACATCTTAAATTCTACGTGTGTATATCACTATACTTTTCTAAGCTTTTAGCAATTTCTTAAAAATTTAAAAATCATACAAAATTTTTTAATTATCAAGAAATATTGATCTAGTAACAACACATTTTCACCTAGTAAGTTATTTTTCCTAATAAAAATTATGGACATTGAACAGAAATTAATATTCCTTAAAATGTGTTCCATGAGTTCATTCTGGTGAAAAGAGCTATATAGGTAGTACTGGCAAGGTCAGCTCTGTCTCTGTATTAGTTTGTTCTCAAACTGCTCTAAAGACAGCACTTGAGACTGGGTAATTTATAAACAAAAGAGGTTTAACTGACTCACAGTTCCACCTGGCTGGGGAGGCCTCAGGAAATTTACAATCATGGCAGAGGTGGAAAGGGAAGCAAGGCACCTCTTACATGGTGGCAGGAGAGTCTGAGAAGGGGGAAGTACCAGACACTTATAAAACAACCAGATCTCATGAGAACTAACTCACTCACTATCATGAGAACAGCAAGGGGAAATCCACCCCCATGATCCAATCACCTCCTACCAAGTCCCTCATTTGACACATGGGGATTACAACTCAAGATGATACTTGAATGGGGACATAGAGCCAAACTGTATCAGCCCCCCTAATGCAGATTTATACTACACATGGGCATATTTTAAAACTAAGCCAGGCACAGAGGCTCATGCCTGTAATTCCAACACTTTGGGAGGAAAAGGAGGGCCAATCACTTGAGGCCAGGATTCAGCATCAGCCTGGACATAAAAGCAAAACCCTATCTCCACACACACAAATTTTTTTTTTAATTAGCCAGGCATAATGGCACATGCCTGGGGTGCCAGCTACTCAGAAGGCTGAGGCAGGAGGATCACCTGAACCCAGGAGTTCAAGGTTATAGTAAGCTATAATCACACCACTGAACTCCAGCCTGTGTATCCTTGTCTCTAAAAAAAAATAATAATAAGTAAATAAATAAATAAGGAAACAAACAAAAAAGCTGAGAATTTTTGGAGCAAAGAAAGCAATTGCACTTTGTTAGATCCAGGGCTTTTGAAATTTGTTTAAATGAAGAATCTAACCTCCTTTTCAGCAATGTATCTATAACTATCTGGTAGACTGAAAATGGCATAAAAGATTATACTCCATTCTTTGTGAATTCCGGTATCCATAATACACATTTGATATAATCAGTTTAATCGCTGTCTACATAATTTCTGTTTCAATTTTTTTTCTTATAAACATTTCTATTGTATTCTACTATTCAGAAACATTTAATTGAATTAGTCATTCTATTATAAAGCATTTGCTATTTTCAATTCTGAAATGTAATTCAAACTACTCTGAACATTTTCATACAAATTATTTTCCTTCTGTTTACCTACATCCCATTAGTAACAGAATTATCTATTCATGATTTGTATATTCAGGTCTTATTGCTTTTTATTTCTAGCATCCTTGACCATTTAGATGCACTGACCAGTTTTGCTTATTTCTTCAGCATATTATTAAACATATTCTGTATGTTTATATGAATAATAGCAAAACTGTTCAATGTTTTAATAATACATTGAATTTTATTTTCTTCTCTGTAGGACTGTAGATGGATAACAACTTCTTCTGCCACTTTTTTTATAATATGGGTCACTATGGTATTGAGACAAGGATACCACAGAAAACAACTAGAAAAAGTGCATTATTTGTGACTGTAAAGTCTTTGTGAAAGTTCTTTTAAATTACTCTTGCACTCATTGTAGAAACTTTATTCCAAGGAAACAATTTGACATATAGAAAAACATTCTATTTTGGTGAAATTTGAAATAGCAAAGGTCTTAGAAATAAATAAAATTCTTCATGATACAGGAGCTATCAAATATTTTCTCATGTAATTTACACATGTTTATAACAAATTAAGTAAACATGAGTATAGATCATTATTTCAAACAAAAAGTGTAGAATTCAAAATTTTAGAAAGCATGTAATCACAAATAAGCAAGGCTATTTAAAGAAACTTCAGCAAACTTTAAAATTTTAATCTTTGGTTAGAAAACTATGGGTGAATTTTTATTTTTCACAATTTTCTATATTCTCTATAATACATATGGGTCCTATAATTTTTTTTTTCTAGCTTACCTTGATTTCTGACTCCTTTCTCCACTTAAATGTTGAAAATTTAACTTCCAGCATTCTTCATTATAAGGGGAAGATATGCCTCCATATGTATTTATCATAGGTGATTTATTAACAGGCATATTCACAGATCATAAATTCTAAAAGGAATATTAAATGTATGTTAGCATACAAATGTACTCATTATCAAACAATACAGGTTATGCAAATTTATTATTTTTGGAAAAGTAGCAAGAACTAAAGTTAGGCTTAAGAACATTCTATATTAAGGAAGAATTTAAATATATAAGTAAGCTATAAGGATATTATGGAAATAAGTATAAAAAGTTACAATTATAAATGTATCTATCCATATATCTAGTCTTTATTATGCTTTAGCACTTTTATCAGCAAAACCATTGAAGGAGCAGCATGGCATGGTAGCTAAGAGGACAGGCTATACAACTAGACTAAGTGCTCTGTGCCTCAGCTTCCTCACCTGTATGAGAAGAGTATTTCCTCATAGAGTTCTTGTGAGAAATAAATAGTTCAATATATGTAAACTGCTGATATAGGAATATAAATGGCCTAGTATATAGGAAATTTTATGTAATCACTTGTAATCATATTATTGTTTTCTGTTCTTTAAAGATTCTCATAAATTCCTTTTCATATCTCCTTTTTGTCATTTAGACAGTGCTTTTTCTGCTTGTCTTACAACTAATTTTTTTTCTTTTTATTCATATCTGAGTATATTCTATTAGTGTATGACCAAAACTAAAACATTCTATATGTGTTTAGTGGAATTTTAGTCAGCAAAATGAAGTAATGAAAGGGTAGTGATATTTACATTGCAGTATTTTGCCTTTCATTTTAAAAATAGCTAAATGTAAAAATTGATCATTAGATTGGTCAAAGTTTTGGCAGGAACCACAGAACACACTCAGATAGGGTACCTGAATCAGGGTATTCTTTCCAGAGACATATACAACCAGATAGTTCTGTTCTCAGGGACTGATAAGAATGAAATAAACTATTATCACTCTTAGGACTGAAGAGGAAGATAGATCAAGACAGAATAGCTATTAAGGAATTGTGTTTAATAAAAAGCTTTGGACTTTAAGCAAGAAATGCAGCCAACCTGAGGTTTCCCTCTAAGAGAGAGCCTGCAGGATAGAAATTCCAATCTCACTCTCCTTGCATGCTCCACTCCAGTCATCAACGAGAACACATGGACACAGGGAGGGGAACATCACACATCATGGCCTGTCAGGGGGTGGGGGATTAGGGGAGGCATAGCATTAAACGAAATACCTAATGTAGATGATGTGTTGATGGGTACAGCAAACCACTGTGGCACGTGTATACCTATGTAACAAACCTGCATGTTCTGTACGTGTATCCCAAAACTTAAAGTATATATTTTTTTAAAAAGCCCACTATCCACAAAACAGCATGTATCAGAAATATCTAGAAATATAAATTTGAGTTAGACATACCCTTAGATAAATTGGTTTAAAGCATTTAATGCCAAGTGGATGGAAAAGAAAAAACTATAGGCCATCAAGGGAGAAAAAAAGAAAATGAAGGCTAAAACAGGTTTTTGTGTTTGTTATATTAGGCAAATTGCTCTGAAGCTTTTGGCTGTTTCCTGAGATCTTTCACAGAGTTGGCTATGGTTAGTCATTTTTTTTTTTTTTTTTTTTAGTTTCAAGAAGTTTAATTGTTTTAAACATTATCTTTTAATCACTGAACTTATTGTCCAAAAATTGCCCACCTCTGCTGGTAATAGTGGTAGATATTTGCACTTTCTGCTCAACATGCAAGTTCCACAATGCCCTGTTAAAGAAAACCTCTCCAGTTGGATGGGGTAAAACCCTCAAAGATATAAGTTTTTAAATGCCTACTCTCAATTTCTGGCTTATCTTAGCAGTACTGGCAAAAGTGTTTAACCAATACAAGTTTGTAAATCACTATGTGAATAGTATTGTGATATATAAGAGAAACAATTTGTGCCCCCTAATATATTTTATTACCTAGGATTGCTTTTGACAAAGAGTAATGGGAACAAGAGCTAAATAACTTCAAATTTCCAAAAAAAAGAACTTAATACCTCCAGAAATATTTCTCATAGAGATGTCAAAATTAAATCCTCAGTAAACAAACAAAAAGTTTCAAAATAACCCTCCCTACCCACAAAAAATAAAAATATAGAATCTAAAAATATCATCAACTTTCAGAAAAATATTAGTTCTTTTCTAAAGATATTCTTCCCATTTAGATTTTCTAAAGATATCAAATTCCCAGTAGAGCCCAATGCTTGGAGATATCAACAAAAGAATTTATAATAGTAATTATTATTATTTTTGCATGAAAATAGGGCCACATTGCATGGTGTGTTATTTTAAGATTCATTTTCCAACTCCAACACAAACCATAAAAAATCTGAGAAAATGTAAGCATTTAATTTTTAATGTTATTTTGCAGTTATTGTAATTTATATCAAGTCTGTTTTTTAACCCACTTTTCACATAATTAGCTAAACTAGCAAAGTAAAAATTCATCATATTTTTACCCTAATTTACTGATGGCAAAATAAACTTTACTAGACCTTTCTTGGTCAAGAAAAAACAATAATCAAGAAGCAGGAATGTGCAAAGGAGTTAATTTGTATTAACAATATAGTAATAATGAAGTAATAAATGTAAATTTCACAAGTGTTTACAGTGAATCATATAAAATTAAGAAGGTAAAAATGTTTAACTTGCATGAATGTGAAAAAAGTAATGAAGCAAATAATGATGATATTATTCCAAAGAAATAAGAAACGAAGAATTTTTAGCAGTCTTTTATATATATACATGTAGTTTCATTTTGTGAAGTGCTAAAACCAAAGTATGTTATTTCTGAATATGTATGTCTAATGAAGCAATAAATATCACCTTTTAAATGCCATTTATGTAAAGCATAAAAAAGTTCAAACTAAAAAATTTTTTAAAGTATTAATTATTTCTTCTGTTGGCTGTAGCCAACAGCATTTTGTGTTGCTAAGACTAAAAAAATAGTTAATTGACAAGAGTCACAGACTGCATCAGAGATTTCCAATGTATCTTTGCCATGTACTCGGCACTGGTGGACAACATAGTGCAATGCACTTAGCACTGGCTGACGTCATCGCAACTTGATAAATGCACAGACATTGCAAACTTGGGCAACTGCTTTACCACAAGTGCAATTTGGACATATTAGTGATATAAACGTAGAACGGTTATATTGGCCCCATTATTTACAAGTATAATTAGCTCTGAATCTCTGAATAGTATAAAACTAGAAAAGCTTGCATTTTATTATATAGATATAAAAATATAAATATATGTTTATATTTTATATAAATACACATATATATTTTAGATGGAGTCTTGCTCTATCACCCAGACTGGATGGAGTGCACTGACATGACCTTGGCTCAGTGCAACCTCTGCCTCATGGGTTCAAGTAATTATCTGCCTCAGCCTCCGGAGTAGCTGGGATTACAGGTGCACACCACCATGCCCGGCTAGTTTTTGTATTTTTAGTAAAGAGGGGTTTCATTATGTTGATCAGGCTGGTCTCCATCTCCTGACCTCAAGTGATCTGCCCAACTCAGCCTCCCAAAGTGCTGGGATTACAGATATAAGCCACTGTGCCCAGCCTTAAAAATTCTTTAAAGTTAAGTTTTGTGTAGGACTGCTGCAATAGTAGGTAATCATTTTGAGTAGTTATTGAAATGGAGAAGTTTATACAAGAAACCTTCTAGAAGCTGAGAAATACTGACTCCAGCCAAGTAACAACGACAAAATTGAAACAAAAGAAAAACAAGCCTGGCCGGGCGCGGTGGCTCAAGCCTGTAATCCCAGCACTTTGGGAGGTCGAGACGGGTGGATCACGAGGTCAAGAAATCGAGACCATCCTGGTCAACATGGTGAAACCCTGTCTCTACTAAAAATACAAAAAATTAGCTGGGCATGGTGGCGCGTGCCTGTAATCCCAGCTACTCAGGAGGCTGAGGCAGGAGAATTGCCTGAACCCGGGAGGCGGAGGTTGCGGTGAGCCGAGATCGCGCCATTGCACTCCAGCCTGGGTAACAAGAGTGAAACTCCGTCTCAAAAAAAAAAAAAAAAAAAAAAGAAAGAAAGAAAAACAAGGACTTCATTTCTACAACTGCATGGAGCTGTATTCTGCCAAACATCTGGAAGACCTTAGAAGCAAATTCCTTACCAAAGCCTCCAAGTAACAGACTAGCTCAGCTGGCACCTTTTCTCCACCCCCAGCATTATTGAGCAAATGTTATTGACAAATACAAATTGCATATATTTATGTTGTATAATGTGATGTTTTCACATATGCATACATTGTAAAATGATTACCACAGTCAGGCTAATTAATATCTCCATTACTTCACAGTGGTCTTCATTTCTCTGATGATTAGTGATGTAGAGCATCTTTTCATATACCTATTGGCCATTTGTATGTCTTCTTTTGACAACTGTCTATCCAGGTTCTATGTTCATTTTTTTAAATTGTCTCTTTTTTCTATTGAGTTGTCTGAGTGCCTGAAATATTTTGGATATGAACCTTTTTGTGTATGTGTGATGTACAAATATTTTTTACAGCTGCTATCTTAGTGTCAATTTGTGAGACATTGAGCAGAGAACCCAGCTGAATCTCCCTAGATTTATGACCTAAAGAACTGTGAGATAGTAAATGAATGTTATTTTAAACTTTTAAGTTGTGGTAATTTATTTTGGTAGCAATAGAAAACTAAAACAAGATATCCCATAATTTAGCAATTATCATTGAAGTGGGTGATAATCTTTACATTGCAGTCTGTAAAAAGTTATCTCTAGGCATTGTACTGTTTGATAGAATGTTTAAATTTATTTTCTAAAGAACATTCACACATAAGGAGTTCATGAACCCAGAAGCCATTTCTTTCTTTAAAATGCAATTTAAGTATGGGTAAAATTTAACAGGAGAACTTATTGAAACTGGCTGCTGGTTAAAAGTTGACATTAAATTTTGAAAATACAGCATAACTTTATGTTAGACAAAAAACTTAACATTCTTAAATGATGAAATGTTTAAAAAATTCTTCTTTGATTCTCATCATCAT